TTCGGTTCAAACGAATATTCTCGGGCTCGATAAAATCGCACGTTAATATATTCGGCTCTCAGGCCCAATTCAATCACACGAAAAATAAATCCATCTCTCGGGATCGGGTTCTTCGATTACTAATTTCGACAGTTCCAATCGATCGCACGATAAATAAACAAAACTCTAGACAATATAAATTAAATACGTACATTGATTTTAAAATACTAATATTATTAATCAAAATATACATTTGGCAATTAGACATTCAAATTGGCAAGCAATAATTAATATATCACAATAATAATAATAATAATAATAATAATAATAATAATAATACTTCAAATAAACCACAAATAAATGGGGCATTACACACGTCCTCGATCACGGAGTTTAATCCACTCTCCAATTGCTCGATCCGGTCCTTATGCGAGTTCGTCATTTTTTTTTTTGAATCAAAGAGGAAAAATTCGAAAGAAAGAAAAATTTGAAAGAGAAAGGAAAAGTTTAACTTGATACACGTTCAAACACTCTCAATGAAAGCACCAATGATGAAGATCGTGTATCCGCTCAACTCGATTTGCCGTGAAACCCGCGCCGACGCCTTGGTCTCGAAGCGATAAGTGCTAATACGCGCGCCGACGCCTTCGTACTTCGCGATAGGTGTGAAGAAAATCAGATGTTGGTCCTATTTCTAGCACGATTTTGTATGTAAATCACACACGAGATTTGGTGATCGAAACGATCGATTTTTCTTATTACTTGGATGATAAAAATTGAATGACAATACGTAGTATTTATAGGGACTAAGTAGATCTAATCCTATACTAACTAGAATTCTAAAACATGAAAGTAAATAAACTCCTAAGGGAACTAAATATCCTAATATCTAAGACTTACCAAATAATTAATTAACTAAATAAGCACATGCCTTTATTCAAGATCTCCTAACCAAACTAGAGTCCTAATTAAGCTATGTAAATCGGATCCCCTACTCTTGCTTGCGCCGCACGCCGGTCCAACCCTAGCCGCGTCGCTAAGCCTTGTCCTCCTCGGCATTGGTCCCGTGCGCGCCCCCACGCGTCCCACGCGTTAGCCGCGTCATGCCTCGCGCGCCCGTCTGCCGCCTCCCGCGCGTACTCGTTCTTCACATGCTCGAGCCTCGCATGGTCGATCGTCGCGTGGTCGATCGTTGCGTGGTCGATCATCGCATGGTCGATCGTCGCGTGGTCGACCTTCGTGTTCTCTCTCGCGAGTCACCTGTCGCGTGGCCTTCCCTCGCGCGTTGCCGGTGGGCGTACCGTGCACCCGTCATGCGCGCACCATTTTATGCGCGTACGCGCCCTCTTGTTACGGCCTCTCGTCCTTTCCCGGCGGCTTGCGCACCTTTTCTCTTGGTCATCGTAGGCCCCGTCCTCGGGCTCGAATGGGTCAAGGACCACATCCGCATCACTGCTGGGCCTGGCCGGGCTGCTAAGCGCTGGGCCGTGCGGGGCAGGCCTGTTGGGCGTGCGGGGCGTGCTGGGTGCGCGGAAAGGGCCTACTGCGCGTGGACTTCGGGTTGGGCGCGTGAATGAGGCTCGAACCGTCCTATGACTTAGAAAAATATACCAATTGTTGGTTAAGACTTAGACTTGGTCTTGGACCTCGACTCGAGGCCTTGGGCGGGGTCACGGCTCGAGTGGCTCGGTTAACTTCTTGGTTTTCCGAATGAGGTCTAGGACTTGAATTCGCACTTCATAATACTTAGAAAATTCTAAGTATTATGCTATTAGGACTCGGCATGTTCTAAGGCTCGATGACTAGGGTTCGGAACGAACGAAACTTAATTCGAATAACATATCTGAATATTTAATACGAACTTAATATATTGAGCACTTAGCATATACTTAATAAATCTTGAATTTCTGAAAATTATGAATTTCACTTAAAAGTCGAGCAGTGAAAATCGTCCTAATATTATTAATGATTCGGGGCGTTACAACCTATCCTCCTTAAAATATTTTCGTCCTTGGAAATACAAAACTAAGGTGCTAGGCCAGAACTCCTACTACAAAACTATGTACAGAACATAAAATAAAAGTACATATATATACATCTGAAAATCTCAAAACTCGAAATCTGGATAACGAGCTCTGATCTCGGCCTCTCTCTCCCAAGTGGCTTCCGACTCGTCGTGGCGACTCCAGCAAACTTTTACGAGCTCTATATCTCTATTCCTCAGACGACGAACGTTTTAGTCCAGAACTGCTACCGGCTGCTCATCGTATGTCAGGTTATGCCCGACCTCTAGCTCATCAAAGTTCACTACGTGGCTCGGATCGTACATGTACTTTCTCAACATCGACACATGGAAGACGTTGTGTACACTCGAGAGCTATGGGGGTAACGCCAGATGGTAGGCTGTTACGCCAACTCGTTCGAGAATATCGAATGGCCCTATGAATCGGGGCTGCAGCTTCCCCTCCTTCCCGAATCGTACAACGCCATTCATCGGCGTGACCTTCAGGAACACCTTGTCTCCCTGCTCAAACTCAAGCTCCCTTCTACGCTTGTTAGCGTAAGCTTTCTGTCGGCTCTGTGCCTCTCTCAGCTTCGCTCGAATCTCGGCAACCTTCTGTACCGTGTCCTCGATCAACTTGGGACTGAGAACCTATTTCTTGCAACTTCATCCCAATAAAGGGGTGAGCGGCACTTGCGACCGTATAAAGCTTCGAACGGTGCCATCTTGATCGACGAGTGATAGCTGTTGTTGTAGGCAAACTCCACAGTGGGTAATAACTCCTCCCATGAACCACCACGCTCTAGAACACAAGATCGAAGCATGTCCTCAAGCGTCTGAATGGTACGTTCCGACTGTCCGTCGGTCTGTGGGTGATAAGCGGAGCTAAACTTCAACTTCGTTCCCATGGACTCGTTCAGACCCTCCCAGAAACGGCCGGTAAACCGAGGATCTCGATATGATATAATCTCGGCAGGAACACCATGAAGTCGAACGATTACCTGGAGATACGTATCTGCTAACTGCTCCATGGACATGTCCATCCTGACGGGCATAAAGTGGGCCGACTTCGTCAGCCGATCCCGCGTCGTGGTGCTTGGGCGACATCGGTAATCCTGTGACAAAATTCATGGTCAGCTTCTCCCACTTCCACTACGGGATCTCTAAAGGCTGCAAGAGACCCGGTGGAACTTTGCGCTCGGTTTTCACCTGCTGGCAAATCAAGCACTTCTAAACAAACTCGGCGACATCTCGCTTCATCCTTTTCCACCAAAACGACCCTTTCAAGTCGTGATACATCTTGGTGCTACCGGGGTGCGCCAAGTATGGAGCACCATGCGCCTCTGTCAAGATCTCTTTCTTCAGGGCCTCGACGTTCGGCACAACGATCCTCCCCTTGTACTCCCAGGTACCATTTATGCCTCGGTAAAAGCCCTCAACTCCTCCAGCATGAATCTTTGCCCCCATCGAGCGAATGAACTCGTTGAAGGCTTGATCCCTCTGGATCCTATCTTGTAGCGTGGGCCACATTCTCATCGCTCGAATAACTCACACAACTAGCAACTTAGGAGGTGATTCGACCACTTCTAGCTGCATCCGAGCGAACTCATGAATCAACTGACGCTGCTGAGTGATCATACAAGTCAGTTCGCCCTTTCCCTTCCGGCTGAGGGCGTCAGCAACTACATTCTCCTTGCCCGGATGATAGTTAATGGTACAGTCATAATCCTTCACCAGCTCCAACCATCGCCGTTGGCGCATGTTGAGCTCCTACTGAATGAAGATATATTGTAGGCTCTTGTGGTCGGTGTAAATCTCGCAATGTTCTCCGTACAAATAGTGCCTCCAAATCTTCAGGGCGTGAACCACGAATGCCAACTCAAGATCGTGAGTCGGGTAGTTCACCTCGTGCGGCTTTAGCTGACGAGAAGCATAAGCCACAACCCTGCCGTCTTGCATCAAAATACAGCCTAGACCCTGCTTCGAGGCATCACTATGAGCTCCTGGAAGCTCGACTCACAACGACTGTCCCACTCAAACTTCACTGATTTCCTCGTCAAATGGGACAAGGGCAGGGCAATCCTTGAAAACCCCTCGATGAAACGTCCATAATAGCCTGTCAAACTGAGAAAACTCCGAACCTCGGTGGCATTTCTCGGTGTTGACCACTTCTGAACAGCTTCAATCTTGCTTGGGTCTACCTCAATCCCTCTGGAAGAGACAATGTGGCCTAGAAAATCCACTCGATCGAGCCAAAATTCGCACTTCGAGAACTTGTCGTACAACTTCTCACACCTAAGAGTCTCCAAAACGGTCCTCAAGTGCTCCTCATGCTGCTCCGGGCTACTGGAATAGACCAAAATGTCATCAATGAAAACAATGACAAACTGGTCCAGAGGGGTTGGAAGACACGGTTCATGAGATCCATGAATACCGCTGGCGCATTGCTCAAACCAAACGGCATCACAATGAACTCATAATGACCGTATCTAGTTCAGAAAGCGGTCTTAGCCACGTCGGCCTCTCTGATCTTCAGCTGATGGTAACCAGAGCGGAGATCGATCTTAGAAAATACACTGGCTCCCCTCAGCTGATCGAATAAATCTCAATTCTGGGAAGCGGATACTTGTTCTTCACCGTCAACCGGTTCAAATCCCGGTAGTCGATGCACATCCTCATAGACCCATCCTTCTTCTTGACAAAGAGGACAGGGGATCCCCAAGGTGATACGCTCGGTCGGATGAAATCGAGACTTAATAGCTCCTGAATTTGAGCCTTCAACTCCTGAAGCTCCTTCGATAACGTGCAGTGTCACAACATCTGATGTCTGCGTGGTACTTCGACAGCCAATCCATGCCGAGGATCAGGTTAAAGTCATTTACCTTGTGATCCCAAACGCATCTACGAAAAATACACTAATAGCATGTCCCCAAAAATGCGATGCTTTCTTTTCCTCGGTGTCTATGAGGTGACGAGCACAAATGCTCTTATCAGCGAATTTGCGCTCGTATTCCTATACCCAATGGCCCCATGCCGAAAAGGCACAAGACTCTTGCTTCATCTGCCGAGATTAAGACGCGGTTGAACATTTTTGCTTCCAGAATCTCTCAGTGCTGGTCCCATGTCATCTGATCAACTCATCCTTCGTCCTCTTATACTAGTAGTCATTTTACCAATCCTTGGAGTTGGCCCCTGACTACAGCCTGTTCCTGCTCGACGAGTGGGTTCGGAGCTCTGTGGGACAGCACTCTGGATAGCCACTAACTTTTTGACGAGAACAGTATAGCCAATTAAGAAATAGCCATACCATACTTGAAATGTTTGATAAAACCGAAAACACCTAGCTTGGCTAGAGTTCCGGTGTACTTAGTTTCTTTTGAGTTCTGGCTAGAGTTCTTACTTAGTCTAGAGTTCTGACTCGACTGGAGTTCTGGCTTAGGCTAGAGTCCTTGGACTTAGCTGTTCTAGAGTTCTGTCTAGAGTTCTCTCGCTAGAGTTATCTGTCTTATAGGAGGATAGTTATCTAGGCCCCATACTTGAATTAAGCACTTGCAAAACTTAAAACTGAGTCAGGTGACTTACCTCGGAGTCAGCAGCGGAGTGGCGTGGCGTGGTCATGCTTTTCTAAACTTTGAAAGTATACAGAAACGCACTCGGCGCTCTGATACCAGCTTCTGTGGCCCCCCGCCTTACTAGCTTTGAAAATCAGAGTAAAATTTTCGCTTTTGTTTTCGAAAGGTGGTGCGAGCTTAGTTTTTCGAAAACACTAACTTGTTGCGGGATGACACAGATAAAAACTTACTTAACTTGCTCACAGACATAATAAAACATGCAACCAAACTATCCGCTACGGATATGGAATCATACATGTCATGTCTGAAATGTCTCGCACAGTCTAAGTCTGCTAGCGGAAGCATATCCGAAGTACAACATACGTGCATACATATCTGAATGAATACATGATCATAAAAATAAGGACATAAAATGTGCGTAAAAATGTCCTCTCTGTCATGACCACGCTTCGCCACGCATAGCTCACCTGGCACGCTCGACTCTGTCTCCTGAAAAACACAATGGGGGCGTGAGCAAACCACTATGCTCCGCAAAGACCAGTATTGAATAAGACATCATGTATAATAACGTGTCATGAACATAAATATATAAGAGCTGAAACTGTAAACTTTTCTTTTCTTTCTTTTCTGTGGTCAAAACACCCTCGGCCTTGGCCGCTCGTGTGCACACCCCGATGGGATATTAAGGCCCTCGGCCTCCACCGGTACCAGGTAAAACTCGAAAGGCCCTTAGGTCGGCCAATCACCTGGTGAACTAACTGTCTCGAACATACCTCTGCCATGGTACAGATATTATATATAATGTGGAATCCAGTACATGACCCCCACCTGATAACTGAACTGACGCAAGTGCTGAAAACTGGAGTAGCGGTCGGAGGCTCGACTCTCCTTAGGCTACATAAACATTTAAGCAAAATAATTCTAAGTATAATGCTCGAAATATTAAATTATATGCTAAAATGCTCGGATTTATCTAATCGATTAAACTAGACTGGCTTGGCTCGGAAAAATACTGAAATTCTGAAAAGAGACTTGGACCGGAAGTCACGAATCAAAACAGACTCGAACCGCCGGTCGAACCGGCCGGTTCGCTAACTGGCCGGACCGCCGGCTCGGCTGAACCGGGCGGTCGGGCGCTGGCTCGGGCTGACCGGGCTCGGTCCCGCGCCGGGCCTGCTGGTGCCCGGGCGCGGCGCTGGGCACTGCTGGTGCGGCCGGACTCGGTCATGGTGCTGCTGGGCACTAATGGGCACGGCCAGAGGCTGCTGGCATGGCCCTGGCACGGCTGGTGCCTCTCGGGTGCTTGCTGAGCACGACCGAGACTCAACTGAGGCCCTGTCGTGCGGCTGGGCACGGACAGGTGTAGCTGGTGCGGGGTACGCGCGAACAGAGGCCACACGGGCACTGCCGGGCGTCCCCGAGGTCACTGGGCACTCGGGCGTGCTGCTGGCCACGCACCGAGGCCTACTGGGCTCAACAGACCCGACTTGGGTCGACACTGTGCATGGAACGAGGCCTCGTTCGCTGGGGCTTGGCACAGTGCTACCGGGAACCTTGCGTGTGGCATGGGCACGCTGGGTGCTGCCACCACGTGTGCTGGCACGTACTCGTGCTGCCGGGCGTGGTCGTGTGCACTGGGCTGCGGTGTGTCACGCTGATGAAGATCGCGTGTCCCGATTGCCGATAAGCCACAAACTCGTGCCTTGAACCGACGATAGGCGTCTCGGAGGTTTACACACCCGCGCCCCTCGAAACAAATAAAATTGCAAAAGAGATCAAAAGAAATCTAAGGCAAAGTGTTTGAACAAATATTCGGGATTTTGTATTAATTTTTAAATGATCAAAATAACAAGAGGAAAAGCCTTTATATAGGCATCAAATAGATCTATTCCTAATCTAGCTATAACTCTAATAAAGCAATAAAATATTAAGTATCCTAAACAATCTAGAAATTATATGAAAAGAACGAAACTAAATATGTGGAGAATTCTAAGTGATCTTGTCTTGCACTCTAAGTCAAACCCTAACCGCCTCATCTCACCGCCTCGGATCCCCCACAGCCCACGCGCCTGGCCTTAGTCCTCGAGGACTAAGGTCGCACCGCCTTCACTCACGCGTGCCTGTCCGTCCGGTGCTTCGCGCGCGCCCACGCGCCCAGCACTCCTATCGCGCGCGTCTTCGTCACCTGTCGCGTCCTCGCCACTCGCCGCACCCTTCACGCCACTGCCTAAGGCGCCTGTTGCGCGCGCGTCGTCTCCCGTCGCGGCAGTATTTCACCCGCGCACCAGTCGCGCGCTCACCTCTGCCGGATCGCCTTCGCCTGCCTCGCATGCCCCGTACGCGATGGCTTGCGTCTCACCCACCTGCCGCGCTAACCTCTTGCGCGCATGATAGGCCCGGCTCGAGGCGTTCTTAAGTTGCCTAGCCACATCTGCATCATTCCCGTCCCCTTAAAGCACTTCCTTGTCCTCAAGGACGAAATCAGGGAACTGGTCGCGCATCTCATATAGATCTTCCAAAGTTGCCTCCTCCGATGGCAACTCTTCCCATTCGACTAACACCTCCCAACGATAGCATCCAGCCTTCCTTACTTGGCGATACTCGATCGCGCGGCTTGGCCTCACAATGGCTCGCCCATCTGTCGCTGTCGCGGGTAGCACTTTGCACCACTTGTGTGCTTCACCCAAACTTCTCTTGAGTTGCGAGACATGTATGACCGGATGAATGTGCGAACTCTCCAAAAACTCTAGGTGATAAGCTACTTGTCCTATGCGCTTCAAAATCTGATATGGCCCGTAATAGCGAACCCCAAGCTTAGTTGGGGCCCTTTGCGCTGTCGTGCGTTGCCTGAAGGGCCATAGCTTCAAGTAAATATAGTCGCCTGGCTCGAAACTTTCCTCGCATCTCTTGCCGTCATGAAAGGTCTTCATGCGATTGATCAAGCCTTCTAGAGTTTTTTTTAACTCGCGCAACATCAAATCTCGCTCCTCAAGCTCCCGACCGACTTCATCGTTGATCGGACCTCCTTCCGAATAACTCACGAGCGTAGGTGGTTTGCGCCCATATACAAGCTCGAACGGCGTAGTCTTGGTCGAGCCGTGGTAAGTGGTATTGTACCAATATTCAGCCCATGGTAGAAAATTTTTCCACTTCTTCGAAAATTGATGCACGTAGCACCGTAAGTATTACTCTAGCGTACGGTTGGTCACCTCGGTTTGACCATCCGTCTGTGGGTGATAGGCTGAACTCATTGATAGCTTGGTCCCTTGCAGCTTGAAAAATTCAGACCAAAAACTACTCATAAAAATCCGGTCACGATCAGAGACAATCGAGCGTGGCACACCATGCAACTTCATTATGTACTCGATGAATAGCTTGGCAATAGATTTCGCTGTGTAGGTATGTGTAATCGGTATGAAGTGCGCATAGTTCGTTAGTCGATCTACCACGACCATGACTCCATTGAACCCATTAGAGATTGGCATCCCCTCGATGAAGTCCATGGTAATGTCTTCCCAAATATTCTCGGGCACACGCAAAGGTTGTAGTAATCCGCCCGGTTGCCGTGCGTCGGCCTTAGTGCGCTGGCATTCGTCGCATCGCGCGACATGTTCTCGGACCGCGCCCTGCTGCCTCGGCCAAAAGAAAGTGTTGGCCATCCTCATCCATGTTCGGTAGAATCCCGAATGTCCTCCAATTTTTGAGTCGTGGAAGTGCTGCATAATCTGTTCGCGGAGCTTCCCGCTGTCGGGCACAAACACTCAGCCCCGGTGTAGCACTAGACTGTTATGCTGCTCGTAATCGGCTACGACTGCATCACCGACCTCAATGTCCCGACGCAAGTCAAGGCATTAGGCATCGTCCTCTTTCGTCTTCCTCAATTCTTTCTATATTGCCCAAGTTGGCCCGATTATGGCCTCGAGCTCGGCGACGTTTGTCCGTCTTGATAAAGCGTCGGCCACGGAATTTTGTCGGCCCGGTCGATACACTATCTCGAAGTCGAAACCCATGAGCTTCGAAACAAACTTCTGCTGCTCGGGTGTCACGGATGTTTGAGCGGTTGTTGGTCGGTCACGATCCGAAAGCGCCGCCCTAATAGATAGGGCCTCCAGCATCGCACAGCTTCTACAACCGCGAGCATCTCCTTCACGTGCACGGACAGCCCTAGTCGAGTCGTGCCTAGAGCCTTGCTGAGAGAGGCCAAGGGACGCCCTTCTTGGACTAGTACTGCACCAATGCCTATGTCGCTCGCGTCCGTGTGTACCTCGAACAACACATCGAACCTCGGCATAGCTAGACTTGGCGTCAAAGTCATCGCGCCTTTAAGCTTCTCAAATGCAGTCTCGCTAGCTTCGGTCCACTTCAATCCTCTTTTCTTGGTCATTTCAGTTAATGGTTTGGCAATGGTCCCATAGTCCTTCACGAACTTCTGATAGTAGCCCGTGAGCCCTAGGAATCCTCGTAGCTGCGTTAGGCTTGTCGGTTTAGACCAATCGACCATAGCCTCAATCTTCCTT